CTGGTTCACTCTCTGAGCTACCGCGCCACCTGTTGAGTGTTTCTGGGCTCTCCCTTCCCCAGCCCTGCTACCAGCGAGACCCCGCCCCCCTCTCCAGGCTGGGGGTAGGGCTTGGCCCACACGCGGCGTCTCTTGGGCCAAAGCTGTTCCAGCCTTTAGGAGATTCAGATTCAGCGTCCTTCGCTGGCTTCCTTTTGAATTTCATCTGAGTTTCTCTTTCAGTCTCAACCGCCTTCCTGCGTCCCCCCGGCCTTGCTTGCCTCTAAATTGCTGCCACCTCCTCCTGGGAGCAGTTTCCAAATTTGGGCTGTGTTCGTGCTTCCTCCGCCTTAGCGGAGACTGTCAGTTTGCAGAGAGCCTCTCTACTCAAATGGTGGCCCACAGCAGCCTGGCATCACCTGGGGACTTGTAGGGGACACAGGAGCTAAGCCCACTCACAGACACTATCAACCTGTAGCTTCACAAGACCTCCCCTCCCTCCCCAGGGCCCCCACCCCAACCCTCGCCCGCGATTCATGGCATTTTAAAGGTCGATACCTCTGGCTTGTGGGACCCAGGGAATCTTCAACAAAGACGCCTCCCCTGCAGCAGTGTACCTGAGACAGTGACATCAGCCATGCCCTGAAGTTAGACGACAATGGCTCTTCTGTCTGTGATGGAAAAGATTCAAGTTCACTCCCGGCATTTGGGTTCCAGGTATTGTATTATGAGGCTCCACCTGGGACTCCAAGAGACGTTCCTTTTTCTAATTGCTACTGGATTTTTTTTTTTGTAATCAGGAAAATTACATGGGATGTACTTTTAAAGGATCTGAGCAAATCCAGGTATCAATACAGATAATTCTAGATGTAATAAACCACCGGTGATGCATGAAGGCTTAGACCGAAGCCCTAACCCAGTAGTTCTCAAACTTAGTGTGCAGCGGAAGCACCAGGAGGGCGTGTTAAACTCACACTGCTGGGCACCACCCCTAGAGTTTCTGATTCAGTGGGGCTGGGGTGGGCCTGAGAATCTGGACTTCTAGCAAGTTCCCAGAGGATGCTGGTGCTGTTGGCCCAGGGAGCACACTTGGAGAACCACTGCTTCCAAGCCACACAGTTATGGCTGCTTCGAGGTTATATTGTCCCTTAAGAATAATATAGAAATAACCCCACTCAGCGACACATCATTACCCAATTACCATGAGTTCTGATGTGAACGTACGTAGTGATCTGAATATTTTCCTGGCTGGGCACGGTGGCTCACGCCTGTAATCCCAGCACTCTGGGAGGCCGAGGCGGGTGGATCGCTCAAAGTCAGGAGTTCGAGACCAGCCTGAGCAAGAGCAAGACCCTCGTCTCTACTAAAAAAATAGAGAGAAATTAGCTGGACAACTAAAAATATATAGAAAAAATTAGCCAGGCATGATGGCACATGCCTGTAGTCCCAGCTACTCGGGAAGCTGAGGCAGGAGATCCCTTGAGCCCAGGAGTTGGAGGTTACTGTGAGCTGGGCTGACACCGCGGCACTCTAGCCTAGGCAACAGAGTGAGACTCTGTCTCAAAAAAAAAAGGAAAAAAAAAGAGAAATGAATATTTTCCTGTACTTAGGCAACACACAGCATTTTCATTTAAATTATGTGCCACCTATAATGTTTATGTTTGGGTACAACCCTGATAGAGACACTTCATTTTTTTCTTCTAGTGACAATTTCACATGTGTAGCCATATCCCTTTTTGTGATCTGCTGAAAAATGTCGAATAAGGTTGTGAGATCCAAAAAGATTTCCTATTATACAAATCAAAATATATCCGTGACCTAGCGCCGAGGCGGGCAGATTGTTTGAGCTCAGGAGTTCGAAACCAGCCTGAGCAAGAGCGAGACCCCGTCTCTACTAAAAATTAGAAAGAAATTAATTGGATAACTAAAAATATATAGAAAAAATTAGCCGGGCATGGTGGTGCATGCCTGCAGTCCCAGCTACTCGGGAGGCTGAGGCAGGAGGATCGCTTGAGCCCA